GTCTAATATGCTGATTTGGTGGCCTTTATTATTAGTAGTAACATTTTTTATTATTATCAGTGCTGAAAACAGTTGTGCTGATTAATTTGAATTAAATTAAATCGATAATTAAATTGATTTTTTTTTTTTTTTGTGGAAACCATGATATTTTTTCCCCCCAGAATTCTTTTCAGGATGGATAGAATGTTCAAAAGAATTGCATTTATTTGATAGTGTAACTAGTTGAATGAATCAAACAATAAAATAAAAACAATATTTAACGTAAATGTATCAATTTATCATATTTTTATTATTCACCTGACAGAAAACTGTTAAAGTACTCACATGGCTTGTTCATTTTATATAATTATAATAATACATTACAAAAATAATATGGTAAAGTGTGTTTTAACGTCTGTGTTAAATAATTTGACAGTACTGAACTTAATTTATAAAAGTGCATCTGGAGAAAAATGTGTTCTACATTTAAGGGAATAAATAATTAGCTTAAGTTTATTAAAATTATTTGAACTGCAATTTAGAAAATTCTACTTCCTATCACTGCCATTCGAATTCCTTTTCAACATTTCTGTTAATGTAACCAATTCAAATTACTCTTAATTAACTGAATGGGAGTCCTTTATTAAATTGTAAACTGTAAATAAAGTAACAAAATGCTGTCCAGCAGATGGCACTGTAGATCCAGCAGACCTACCTGCAGGTTTTCAATGCAGAACTGATGTCCGTACATGTCGATGGCAGACAGGAAGATGGATTCCACTTGATTGTGCCGTAGCTCGTATGATGGAAGGTGCGAGGCAATGAGAACCTGCCGTGCCCGCAGTGCCACCTTGGCATTAGTGGTCTTGCTGAGCTGTGTGAGTTCTGTGAGTATTGCCATGAGCTCATCTGTCAGAGTGGGATCTCGTCCACACAGCTGATCCTACAGAGAGAAGTAAGAGACCAATGTTTTAATCATATGACTGTCTAAATATACATTTGTTTTGATTAAATCTCGACTGTTATTACATTGTGCAATCTACAAGAAACAACAACAACCAACATCCACATTTCCTGAAGTCTCTCTGTTTTGTGTGACTGTGTACTCACAATCAACATGGTGACCAGAGAGTTCTTCTTTGTGACTTGTGCATGAGAGAATATGTAGTTGAGCACATT